CGCAAAAAAAAAATAAGTCACTGAACTTTCACACCTTAGGAGACTTTCACAGGTAAAGTAAAAGAAAATGTGTGTTCCTTAAAGGATCACACGGAACAAACGAAAAAATCTATTTGAAACATTTACAAGAAATTTATCAGTCCTGATCCAAAACACAGAGGTGCAAATAAATTCTATATCAACCATTTGTTTTTGTTAAATAGTTCCTGTAAAATTTCAGTCTATGTGTTTTTTCAGTAGCCATTTAGGTTCCAACAAAAAATTGCTTCAGTTTTATTGAGTTTTGGTACACTACCTCTAGCTACTATCAATCAGTTCTAGAAAACTTTCATTCTAGAGCTATGAACATCATAACTGCAACAACAAAAAACCCCCAATGAGTCACATAATATCATAGCATCTAAGGGCCTCAACTAACTCACCATCTCCCTTGGAAAAGCAGAGAAGTTGTTGAACATGGTAGGCCTTCGGGTACTATAGGCCACATTATAGGAAAATTTTAAAAGTGGCAAAAAATTACCTGGGGAATGGACTATCTGAGTTTTTTCTTCTTCTTCTCTTACGAGGAAATTATAATATGTTTGTATATGCTAAAATTTCAGAAAAAATAACTATTCCACTGAACATTTAATGAAACACAATGGTAAGAGCTAGATTCTGTATAGTCCTTCAGTTTGTCCTTTTAGTACCAAAAGCTGGAATATAAAACTGTACTATACGCATCAATATTTAAATTTTAAAAACTAAATTTATCTGGAGTGAAAAATTGAGAAATATTTGGCCAGAAGAATGCACAAATATCTAACTCTACCTGTATCATAACACCAACATGCTCTTTGTTTCAGAAAGTATTTACTTTCATTTTTCTCTTTTCTGTGCTATTATACTTCCTTTCCCTGACAACCATAAAACACAAAAATAATATACTTATTTCAAACTTTGAAGGACTGATTATGCTCTCAGTTACATTACTGTACACTAGAAAAAAATAAATAACCTGAAGTTGGCAAAGTCAGATCAGTTTTCAAAAGGGAGAGACAAAAACAAAAATGAGAAGGATTGAACAAGCATGTTTATGAGAGTGAACTAGATTGATTATATTCTGTAACTGTTTCTTCTGCCCCCCCTGCAAAGGTTTACCCCTCTACCCCCACCAAACAGCATATAGCTGGCTACAGAATTCTCATCTGCAATGAAAAAACTTCTTTAATACACAGATAAGGAAGACAGGCCATAAACTTAAACCAGCATCTTCCAGAAGTGAGAGCGTGATGTTGGCATGAGGTATGTTAGAGGATCACATAAGATGCTGTGCAGCCTTGGCACTGTTTGGTGATGATCATATAATTCTGAGGGACTCACAAGTCCCTCAGAAATCCAGACCACCTTCTCCTTTTCTTCAGTGTAGCAAACAACTCTACAAATCAGAAAAATATCTCTCTATTTGTGTAAAAACACTTAGAGTTATGTCTAAACTTACTGCATTAGTATGGACAAATGGGGTACTATGGACTTCAATTTATTGGCTGAACAAGAACATCATCATTGTTCTTGCTCATGAACGCTCACAGTGGCTGGTCTCAGATGGAAGTTGTGTGGTCATTTGATGTCTATCACATACAGATTTTTTTCTACCAGGTACCAGTGAAATGACAAGGCTTCAGACAAACAGTGAAGCAACACGGATTCATAGATTATACAGATATAAGAGAATATCCTAATAATTTAATTAAGTACATAAAAAGCATATACAGAAGTACCAGAGACTTCAATCCCTCCTACTAAAAGAGAGCCTCAACAGTAATTTACTGGTATTGATCAGGTATATTAGCATTATTTTCATTACTGAGCAAGGACTTCTAGTCTCCTATTGCTTCCTGAGTATGTATTTATGTCACCATCCAAATTCAGTAACAAGACTATTTAAAATAAAAAAGTTCTGTATCAATTTTTAAAATAAACAATAAAACAAAACCACAATGAAACAAAAGAAAACTGCAAAAAACACTAAATATGCTAAGATGCACCATTTCTCACAATCAAAACTGTGGGATGGGAACAGCTGATTTAGCTTGAAAAGTTAATCCGTACAAAATGCATGCACTTCCTTTCTAGCTGTTATATCTTAAGAGGACTTCATAAGGTTATCGTCATTTGCTCCCCCTGCCAAAGATAGCATATCTAGTACATGTACTTTTAAGCTAATTTAAAATAAACTCAGGCATTTGTTTCCACTTGCCCTTGTTTCCATGTCAACAGCATTTAATGAATGCATCATTCCAGGAAATGTCAATAAGGAGCAAAGAAGAATGACCAAGCACTGAAAACTTCACACATGGCACGAATTCTTCACAATCATATCGCTTTAATGAAAATAGGTGAGGTCACCTGCAGCATTCACAAATGCTTTGTAATACATTCTGACCCAGATGATTTTTCACAGTTCAGTAACACCACGTTTGAAGTTTTTACTGCAAACAATACACCCACAGGACTGTCCAAGTGCGAGTACAACAGAAGCAACCAGCAATTACTGTGTTGACTTCTGTTACTTTGATCTCCGGGTCATGACCTTTGTTTTCACGCAATCTTCAAAGCAGAGATTGTAGACTAGGTTATTTTAGAGGACACACTGTTTTGCAAGCTATTTTTCTGTGATTCTTGCTTCCTACTTGAGCCAAAAGCTTTTAAAATTTTCCTACCACCATTACATTTTAGCTATTCTACTTTCCCTTGCCCTCACCACCAAGATATGCTTTTACAAAAATATTAACACCCAAATACAGAAAGCTTAAAAAAATAAGATAAAAAGTAAGAACTTACAGAATTATTTTTTTATTAGAAAGAAATTGAAGCCATTTTACAGTGATGAAAAAAAAAAAAAAAAAAGGAAGTTTTTAAAATTACCCAAACAAGTTTGCTTATAAAAATACCACAAAAGGGAACTTTCCATTTTCTTTTCCTGTCCAAGCAAAAATTCCAGTAGCATAGAAATGTTTTCATCAATTTGTTCTCCTACAAACTTGAAAGGTAAGGAGAAATAGCAGGGATGGGTGGAAAAAAAGCTTTTTCCCTAAAAAATTTCCCTTTCAAAACTAATACAATTCTTATAAAAAACCTCAAAACCTACTTTGAAAAAAAAAACAACAACACAATACTGTTTTAGTATAAAATGTACTGCGAATGAAATAATAGGGAAGAGCTTTAGTAATTAAATGATAGAAATGGTATACCAAGGGATTAACTGAGGAATCAGATTGGAATTTCTCGACAAATAAGCATAGTTCTCTATATTTTTTAAGTATTTCTGATACAACCTAATTATTTTTAATATGTGCAATATTACATTTAACCTCTGTTGCTAAGAGGACTACAAATCACTGGACCTTAACTTTCCTAAAAAATTATTTTCCACATTTCTTTAAGATCGAGATTTTGAGGGGTTTACAGATCTTTTCAGTTTGTTGGATTGAGAAGATTAAGCAAAGCTTTGATTTCTTGCACCTTTCTCTTTCTGGTTGAGGAATTAAATAGCCTGAACTCTAATTGAACTCAGTAGGAACAAAATTAAAGTTCAATGAAAAATGAAGCTGTGGTTCCAATGGTCACTGCAAAAATTTACAAAGAGAAGTTTCCATTCAGAACAAAACAAAGCCAGTTAAAGTTATGGTGGAGCACAATGTTTACATAATTCAAGTTCAGTGAAATCCAATCTTCTGATGCTTTCTGGAAAATTTCTCAAAAAAAACCTCTTATAAAAAAAAAGCTATTTCAAACCATTAAAAATGCTGTAACTGGAAGAAAAAGTTGTCCAAGATGCTTCAGAATGTGTATTCAAAACTCTGAATCAGCCATTCAGAGTAAAGCTACAAGAGTACTTTTAATCAGTTCCATCACATAGGTGAATATATATTCCCCTAAAGATGGGTAGGTAAGTAGGTAGGTAGGAAGATAGAGAGACAGACAGATAGCTGGAACCATGCTTTTGGGTTATGAATCTAGTGTTGTCTAGCAAACACATTTCATATAATGCAACAAATAATAATGGAAAAGGATCAGGAAGCTTTCCTTACAGTAGCAGAACCATAAACCATTCAACTAATTAGGAGCCCATTCTTCTTCATTAAAAGAACTTCAATTAACCTAGCTTATATGGAAAAAATACCCAGGGTTTTGAAAAATTGAGAGGAAAGAGAATGGAAGCAATGTTGCAGTTTCCAGTAGACACATAAATAGAATCACTTCACACTTTGACATGGTGGTTTGCCATGATGTGACATAAAACTACCTTGACCTCCCTGAAATCAACATTTTTGCATTGAAATGAAACAAGAGACATGCTTGTTTTGATGTATGGCTGTGTGACATATTATAAATATTACATCACATAACCACAGAGGATGTCAATCAATAAAGAATTTTTTCAGAGAGCACTAAATGAACCATGGGTTCTTGCCTCTGAATGGCTCCTTTAACGTACTACTTTTGCTTAAATGATTAATAGGAGACATATTGTCAGAAAACATACTTAAAGTGAAAAACAGTAAACTGTAGAAATATCATTCATTTTTTAAGCCATTTTCTAGTGCACATGTCACATAAATTTACATAGAGACATCACTATTAAATTCTCATAAGCTGGATAGTAGGCATACCTTCCACTTAAGTGTGAAAGCAATGAGAAGATATTTTATTAAATTTAGGCTGATCAACTTTGTGAAAACAAAAAAAACCTAAACTCGTATTCAAAAGTGGAATCATTAAAAGGTGAAAGTCTGAAAACACAGAAATCCTTCTCAAAAATTTGAAACAAATTAAAATATATACGCACACTTGGGACGGTTGTGCTGATGTTTCAAGTTTTAGCATTTCCTAGAGCATTGAATTCAAGACACTTTCCAATAAACCTGCCTGTATTGTTTTGTATTAGGCCCTACAGCAGAGTTTAGAATAAATGGAGATAAAATCAGAGTTTTATTATATAACTGAATACTGCATGTGATTTGCTAATAAAAAGCAAGTTCAGGCTGTGCAAGGTTGGCAGCACAGTGACCAGTACTGCTTGGTTCCGACTTGCCTCTGACTGCCATTTTCAACCAACGTGAAAAACGCCAGCACACAAAGACTGAAATAATGTTTCATATGTGAGCAAGGAAAAATATCTCAAATGACCTTTTTTTTTCTTTATAATCAATGTCTCCTTGCCTAAAAGTCACAGCTATGAAAATTATGTCACTTAGCAGATGTTCTGTAAGTTTTGGATCTATAGTCATAATCATTATCGGTCAAAAGTTTGTTTGGTTTTTTTTTAAATAACCGTTGTAATTTTTAGCAACATTTCAGTTGGTTTAGCTGTATTTATAGTATTTTATCAGGCTTCCATACTAAATTTCAGATGACCTTTTGTGTAATCGAGCTCTTTAAAATTACAACATAGATATAGTTTGGGGTTTTTTAATTGTAATCTAACTGCTCTGAGTAAGGCAGCACAATAGAGGAGTCCTTCTGTGTCAAAAGTGCCTTGATAACTACAGTAGAAGAAACTCAGCACCATATAAAATATGAGAAGACCATATAACTGGCTATCTCAGTGTAATGATTTGTCTTTTTATTGCCTGTCACCCTTAGTGTATGCAAAAGTTGCCTTATCTCAGCCTTAAAGAAGGAAATGCCGTGAGTAGGGGCATATGAGCACCCATATTCAGGATATCTTGTGCACACCTGCTCAACTCCACCATGTGCTGGATCTCACTGAAATGGGGTTACTTAAATTCCTAGGTGTTTCATGACAGAATATGTAACAATGGTTTCAGAAAAGAGTAAATGATTGTTTGAGACCCTGGGCTGATTTTAGTTCAATATTTTTCCAGTAGTAAAACAAAACTGACATGTCTTATTATATCTACAAGCAAAAACACTAACCTGTACCTCTGGTAGTCATCCTCATCCTTTTCTTTGCAGACCAGTTCATTTGGGCAAGCAATGTTTCCAAGCAAACTGAGATACTGTAGTGAGGGCACAACTTCAGCCAAATGGTCCAAAAGGCTTTCTAATTCTGTTATGTGTCAAAGGTTGTGGGTTAAGGATTCAATGACATTAATGAAAAAAGCATTTAGAGTTGCATCACTGCTGATTTAAACATACATTTCAATAACTGACAATCAAATTTAGTATGGCATTCAGGAAAATGTCACATTAATTGTTCCAAGGGCAAACAGGGATAAACTTCAGTCAGTTTTTTGGCATGGAATGAAAGAATTGGGCTGTTTTGTCATTCTTTTCTCCTCCTTTCTTTCCTAGGTGGTTCACTACAAAACATTAAAACTTTGACAAAATGATGGATGCTGTGTGGTAAAATGGCTAGCAATTGCTGGAGCCATGAAACTTTTCCAGCATGGAAACAAACAGTTAGTTTCACAGCACATTCATCACTAATATATTCAGTCCACTGGAAAATGAGTTTAAAAAAAAAAAAAAGAAAAAGAAAAAAGTCAAACCACAACAACCCACGTTCACTCCTGGCATATAAATGGTTTGAGTGTCTCAGGAACACATTAGCAACTACTCAATTAGTATATGTCAATTAATGCTTCACTAAGTGTAACTTAAATACTTCAGTGTTACAAATATTTTGTATATGAAGTTTTAAAGACTTGGAAAGCATAATTTTTTGCATTACTTTTAGCTCTATTCCTTGGAACATAAATAAGGATGATACAATTATTACTGTAAACCTTAATGAAACAAACAAGCAAACAAAGGTTAAACTATTTTTAACCACTGCAATACCAGAGATTACCTCTCAGGTTTAAGCATAGCAACAATATTCAACCATCTGCACACTGTTGATTAATCAAATAAACAAATTATTTTGTTACAGCTTAGTTTGACAGTCTCTAAGACTCGAACTATATATTCTTATTAACTTCAATTTACATACAAAGATATAGCTGTGATTCTCAAAAAATATGCCATGTATGTGTATGTAAAAATTTCCCAATATTAAAATCAAATTAATTAGACAAGAGTAATAATTGTTCAAAACCAATAAAGGACATTTCATTGTTCTGCTTTTATCCTCTCCTTCTGTTAGAGACCACAACTATTGTCACAACTATTGTTTTAAATTCTCAGTTCACTGGTGTTGCTATTATTTATACTTGATTTATGTGTTTCTGTTATCTTTGTTATTTTTGGCTGATGGAATTTACTTTATTTCTTCACCCCAATATCTTAAGGGCAACAGAAACAATACAGAATGGAAACAGCTTTGTTGTTCTTCCCTTCATAAGCCTGAGATTTTATTTTATTTTCAAACACTCATGAAGATCGTGCCAACAATTACTGATTCTCATCTACTAAAATCAATGTATCTACACTCTTAACGTTCTGTCCCATAAGGTCCAAGGAATCATAATCAAATATTTTGCATGAGTGAGAAAAATAAGAGCTTGAAATAAGTTCTATGAATTCATTAAAAAGGTAGAAATGTTAACTTTTAATTTGGCAAAGCCACAATATAGAATGCTATGTGCCAGTAAGTAATTTACCAGACCCTTAGAAACATTATCTTTTTGTAGCACCATATGATACAGATCTTTGTTAGCTGGGTGAATTATCGATCCAAGTTTGGTGCTAAACGTCACACCTAGACGTCAAGCTCACACATAAACTTTTTCATGGCTCTTTCAGGAAGTATGTGACAGTGACAGGAAGCTCACAAACTGGTTTTTCCACAGATGTTCAAGGGAAAAGCTTTTTAAAAGTTTCCTAAGACTGTTAAAGAATTGCTTGAATCTGGCACCCGCCCTCGGCCAGGAGAAACACTTAATTTCTCACAGTATTACTTAAGCTACAAAAAGGTTCCCTGGGAGAGTTTATTAATAAAGACAGTTATTTCCATAACACACAGGGAGTTAGCTATTGCAAGGGTTTTATTGTATATGGTAATTTCCTATCAAAAGAAGAAAAAAAAAAGGCATCAAAATCCCCTCAACAAATTATTCAAAATATTTTCTCCTTTTACAGATTAAACATGCCGGATTTTTGCTTGTCCATTCAGTAGAGCTTTTCCTTGTACAGAAGCTTTTCTCCCCAAAAGTTTCTAAATGTGGAGTATGATATGTATTCTAACTCCCATCTGAACATGCAGACTTCAAGGAAAATATCAAAGTGCATTTAGAAATGTAATGAAGAGTTGTGTCAGTGCAATTATGCAAGACTGTGCCTAAAAGTCCTAAGGAAAGCGAAAAGGAGAGACATCACATTCAGCAAGAGTTTTAGGTAAATAACAGGAGCTGATAATCTGCATCTCAACAATCTAAAATTTCCAAATTTGGAAGTTAGTGTCTAGGTTCTAATGCCTCATATCTAAACACTGAACACTGATTTTAAATGCAGAAACACCCCCGTAAAAGTATCTTGGGCAAGAGATACTTATGAATAGTTATAAAGAGCAGTTATACCATAAACAAACTTTTTTATTCCTTAGGACTTTAACTACTACTTCTTTTTCCTCTTAAAAACAAAACAAAATTCAAGGTACAGGTTGATTTTCCAAGAAGCCCCATTCACCTACCATCACAGGTATTCTTTACAAAGCATTTAGGAGAAGTAAATGTTATTCTGTTCAAATTCTCAGGATTAAGTATTTTTCAGAGATCAGTCATAGGTCATGGTGCACTTCTAGTGTACTGTTTAGTTAATTAGCATGTCATATACTTATTTAAATCACAATACTGGAACTATCTGATGCCACCAAAAGTGTTAAGTCTTTCTAAAACAATGCTAGGAAAAATGGAGGGATAAAATCAAAAACTAGTCTGAAATTTTATTGCCAGTTTCCTTTTTTATGGTTTATTGTTGCAGTCTAAGGAGGGCCATACTGGTGCAATCAGAGCCAAAGAGCTGCAAAATCCTGCTGTGCTATTTCTAAGACCAATTTCAGCTCCAATATCTTCAAAAAAGAAAAACCACAATTAAATCCACGGACAGTGCTAGTGAAAACGTATTTACTTATTTAAACCTCTGTGAAAATAGCCCTGGACTGATCTGTTCAGTGTCACTGATCACCAGATAAATATGTAACAGTGATGCCAACACTTACACCACAGTCCACTGTTTGAAAAACGGTTTAAAGTATCACGGTTATGACAATGAAAGGGCTTTAGTGTGGTAGTCCATCTCCTAATTCAAGTGTCATCATTACCAATCCATTAATGCCTCTCTTTCTAACAGATGTTGACTAAAATAAAAATTTGTAACAATTAACATTTTAAACCCTTCAGCAATACAGCTCACACAAGCTACAACATCAATTTGGGGCAATCAAACAACAATGGACCTCTCCAAAAATCTAACCTGGTCTTCATGAACAATGAATAGAAACATGCTGGACATAATTTAAAATTTCATCCTTATCAAAAAACTTTACTGATTTCTTGTATTGTTTCTAGTTTTAAGTTAGGGAAACATTTAAAAGAACTACATATCTCTCATAGATTAGTTTTCTAAAACCTCTTCACACTGTTACACACATATATATATAATATACACCACACATGCATACTTACAGTAGACTATTCACAAGCATACATATGCACAATCAGACACAACCTTGTCACTGTTCTAAAAAACCAATGCCACCACTGAAACATAGCAATAGAATTATTTGGAAAATACAGTACTATGATGGGTCTGATTTAACTGCAGAGTAATATAATTTTTTGGAAGTTTTGTGGAACCAAAAATACCCTACAAAGAGGCATGTTCTGACCTGTCTGTTTTCATTCACTGTCTGGTACCCAATATTGCCATTTTTTGAGGTTCTCCAGAAAGCAAAAGAACAATCAAAAGTCCAAAGAAAATTAGGTATCTTCTTTCTCTAGCTAATAATTATCTGTGAATGCAAGCTTATAATATTTTTGTTTGTTTTGTAGAAAATTGTTTAGCATGGGTCAAAATTCTAGTGCTAGTCAGGACTACGTTCCCTTACAAACCCTTCAAACATAAGTTCCCAGGAAATATTACATTTAAGTAAGGTCAAAGTTGTAAACTCTTGTGTGGATGGTATAATGCCACTTCATTTAGTCAATTTTAGGAGAACCTTGCAAGCAGGGTCAGTCATTTTGATGCTAAGCAGTGTCTTTTATATTTTTGAGAGGTTGAGTAGATTCACACAGAAACTACTGGATGATGTCACACAAGCTCCAGTATTCCTGATTTCTGTATTCTCAAGAGCCTTTTTAGCTGTGTCCTTTCCCTAGTCCCTCCAGCATATTTCCAGGGCAGAGTAATATAAAGTTTAAGTACTAAGAACTAATGCTGGTCATCCCCAAACTCCAAACTATTTCTTCCTTACCAGCAGTCTTGGTATAACCACATTCATGGTTGCTTTCAGGAACAACTACAAGTCAAATCTATGCAGAAACACCCTTGCTAATGGTTTCTAAATTAATTTATCCTATCCAAACAAACATACATGTTTCCTATCTTACTATGCAATTATTTTTTTGATACTGTTTGAAGTATGCAAGAAAATCTAGGATTTCTTTCTGTAAACTTTTTGTCTGCTAGTAGTTCTTTATTAGTCACACACTCAAATACAGAAAAGTAATCGCTCCTGTTCTTTCTCTCACTGCTTTCCAAGTTGTTCCACCATTTCATTTCAAAAAGTCATTTCACTTCCCTGGAGGAGTTGCAGGAGAACTTTTCATTTTAAGGAACTTCATTGATTACAGCTTTTGAAAATTCTTGGAAGCAAAGAGACAAAATAAAAAGCAATCAGTTATACATTCAAAGTATTTTTGAAATATGTACATGAGAATATCAGAATTATCATGCAGAATTCCAGACCACCACATAGAAAGACCCCAAATTCTCATTTAAAAATCTCCTGCCAACTAATTATCTGTCATGCAGGTGCTGCAATCAACTTAACACTAAAACAGCTGGATAACACTTCTACCAGAGTCAGGAGTGAGAAAGGTATCTATATTTATTCCCAGTTGAAACATTTGCGACAATTAAATTTATCACAAACACAGTGTAGCAATCACAAGCT